AGCACAAAAGGCAGTAGGGAAAGGCAACGAGAAAAGAGGAAAGAGCAAAAACGCCAGCAGCGACGAAAACAGAATAGAAGACATGAATCGAGCAAAGTGAGGAATTAAGAATGAACAAAACAAATGAATAATAAATAAACAAGAAAGAGAGAAAGGAACAAGTAGTAAGGAGGAAGGAAAAAGGGAAAGGGAAGGAAGGATAAGCAAAGTCAGCAGGACAAATTAGTACAAAGAGAAAGTGATAAGGACAATAGAGACACACAAGACAAAATAACTAAAACAGGAAAAAGAGCTAGCGAGATAGTAAGTAACAGAACACAATAAGAGGGAAACAAGGCAAGCGAAAAAGCAAGAAAGCGAGAGAGGAAAAAAAGAAATATGCAAAGAAAAGAACAGGACGCGGGAAAAGTAAAAAAGAAGAACAAGGACAAGTTAAGACAAAAGCAAGATGAAAAGGAAAAGAGACAACAATACAGGAAACACAAGGAGAAGGCGAAAAGATAAGAACGAAGGAGGTAGCAAAGGAGAGAGAACTAAAAAGAGAAAAGAAAGAGGCAATCAAGCAAAGAAGAATAGAGTAAAAGATAAAAAAAAGGTAAGTAGAGACAAAAGAGAGGGCAAGAACGAAGAACAGGAAGTAGCAAATAAAAAAAGAGAGAAGAAGGCAAAGAAGAAAACAGAAACAAGGAACAGTAGGAAGTGAAATGAGAGTGATAGAAAACAGAATGAAATAGAGACGAATGAAAAGAGTAAATGAGAAATATGTAGTAGGCAGAGAAAAAAAACAGTACAAGGTAAAGGGAAGAAAACGAGAAAGGAGAATTAAAGGAAAGGCAAGGAAAGTGTAAGAAAAGAGGAGAAGATGACATACGGAACAAGAGAGAAGGGAAGGGACAATGGAAATTAGGAACAATGTAGAAAAAGACGAAGGAAAGAACGCCGAGGAGAAAGGAGAAAAAAATGACTATAAGTAAAAGAAGAAAAGAATAGAGAGACAAGAGAGAAGAGCGAAGAACGGAAAAGAACAAAACAACGCAAGAATAAGAGAACTAAGACAAGACAGGAAAAGATATGACAGCATTACACAAAGAAAGAAAAAAGTAAAGCAGAATGAGGAGATCGAGAAGCAGTAATAAGATAGGCAAAGTAAGAACACAGAATAGCCGTAATAATAACAGAAAAGGGAGAGACAAGACAGATAGGAGAGTAACGGAGAGCAAGAGAGTATGAAACAACAGAAAGTAGTAGAAGTCGTAAGCCAAAGGCAGATGAGAGAAGAAAGCAGAAGAAAGGAGTAATAAGAAATATAAGAAAGAAGACGAAGACAGAGGAAATAATAGAGAACAACAAAGAAGGAAAATAAAAAAAAGCAATAAAACAGAAGGAGGACAAAAAAAAAAACAGAAGAAGCAAGTAAATGAAAGAACGAAGTAAGCAAGAGGACAAAAGTATGAAACAAAAGAAAGTGAAGAGAAAAAGTCAAAACGAGAAGAAAAAGAAAAAAGGCGCAAAGAGGCATAGAAGGATGCAAAAAAAAACAAAATGCAGGAACTAGACTTCAGAAAAAGAAAGAGAAAGAAAAATGCAAATCAAGTTACACTAAAGAGCAGGCCAAGGCAAACACAACCTACAACGAGAAGACGATACACAACAAAGACAAAACAAGAAGAAAGGACAATGAAATGAAAAAAAATAAATAACATAATAGAGACAATCAAAAGAAAGAAATCACAAGAAATAGAAAAATGGACGCACGAAAACACACAAGCGAAGAAAGATATCAAAATAATTAATAATATGGTAAGGAACGAGAAAAAGAGAAGGCAAGAAGACAAGAAGGATGGAAAACACGAGAGAGAGAGAGAGCAGGAGAGGAGAAGAACAAACGGGAGAAAGAAAAAGAGAGATTAAGTAAATAGCACAAAAGGCAGTAGGGAAAGGCAACGAGAAAAGAGGAAAGAGCAAAAACGCCAGCAGCGACGAAAACAGAATAG